TTAAGATTCTGTGTTTTAAATACGATTTATTATCGAACAGTAAGATAACTCACCTTCTCATTGCTTGCCGATTGCTGCGCATCGTTCTGACTTTGGCTATGGAACAGTTGACGCTTCGAGGATACTGTACCGCCTCCGACGGCTCCATTTGACGTCACTGGCGTTGCTATTGTAGTTGGCGTTGACTGATTGCTGCCCGCAGCCGCATTTTGTTTATTGCGTTTCCCATTGCTATTGCATATGTTCATCGAGTTAATGGCAGCGGTGGCGGAGGCGGGAGCTGCCGATCCCGCTCCCGGTCCAGCGGTTCCCTTGCCATTGAGATTATTTAACTTGACGCCATCCAAGTCACCCATGGACTTGTGTCTCTGGCGTCGCAATTCATTTTGCACTCCCGCGACGTCCTTCTTGCAGCTGCCGTTCATATTCGTGGGCGAGGCCGCTTTCGGCGATTGCTGGCCAGAGCATTTGCGGCGACGCGGCTCGATTCCAGCCTTCCGATCGTTCACCCACTTCTTCAGGCGCTTCACAAACGGCATAATCATGAAGAAGGAGTTGGAGGTCTTGCCCAACTTGGCCTTTGATATGGCATCGTTCTTGTTCACCGGCAGCGCATCGATGCGGAACCAGTCGCAGCACTTGATCTCGTTGCGGGTGCGGGGCGCGAACTGCGTGTCCATCGGTATGTGTCGCACAACGTACAGCCGCGTGTACTGGTAATTGATGAAAGCCTCGATGTAGTCGTTGGCATCGATGAGGTCCGTAATATCGAACCCGGTCTCCTCATAAACCTAAAAAAGCGCCGGAGATTAATAACACTATTTTCAAAGCCAATAATCCATTATTAATAATTTTATACCACTTTTTTAAACACTATCGAATTTCTTTCTTAAAACTTATAAGAGTAATCGCATTTAGTTAACTTTTCAATAATGCGTTAACTATTTCTGCCCCATTTATAGGCACACAATAATATTTTCGGAATTCTAATATATTCCCGACTTGCCTCTCTCGTTGCACAATGGGCTGGGTCCTCGTTTTCGTTGATCTTGCCCTTGGGAAATCCCCAGGAGTTACGGGCAAAGTAGGACTGCACTAGCAAGCAGTGATTGTGATCCTCGGACACCAGAATAGCTCCATAAGTGGGCACCGACAGCTTGTAGTTCTTCCACTCGTCCAGGATTTGATCCACGGTGCCAAAATGTTTGTTCAGGAAGGGAATGTGCTGGTGAAATAACAACAATACATTCAGTACAATTCAGACTACATAAGATCCTACTTCAGATCCGAAACTCACTTGGAACAACTGCATTGCAAACAGCTTGATGCCCACTGATGGCAGCTTTCGCTGCACGCACTTCGGGGTCTCGCCATCCTCTCCAGTTTCGGGGGCACAAAAGAAATCCAAATAGAACCAATGGGCCAGTTCGATTTGGAAACACATTCGTATTAGATTGTTTAGCTCCATGTCCGGAACATTGATTATAAATCGACTGGCCAGATCATCAAGTATATCGGACGGAATTTTCGATTTCTCTGGCAATTTATTGCTGGACGCCTTCGTGGTACTTGCTCTTGCTGTTAATGCTCCTGAAGTGACAGATGCACCCGCTGCCGATGGCACAGATGTGCCCGCGGCTTCCTCCGAGGATGAGCTGCCGTAGGAGGAGTTCGTTGATGTCGATGAGTGGGTCGATGATATGGATGAGTTGAGGCGTTGCTTCTGTGCGCTGTATTGCTGCTGCTGCTGCTGTTGATGTGGCTGTTGTGCATATTGATGTTGCTGCTGCGTCGGCTTCTTCCTTTCGATGGCAATGGGCGCTGTGGGCGTGGCGGTGAAAACAGCTCCAGTTTTTAGCAATTGGTTTAGTACATCATTCTCGCTCTTGATGTCCAGGTTTCGTCGTTGTGGTAGCTGCTGCTGTTTTTGTTGCTCGTGTTGTTTGCAATCGCTAATGTGGCTGTGGTTGTTGTTTTTGCTGTGCTGGTTATTGTTATTGTTGATGTTTAGCACTTTTTGTAAAGTCAGCGACGCAAGCAGAGCCAGATTGTTGACTTCAAATAGAAAAGGCAAAAATTGAAAGATAAGCACACGACCCCAAGAAACTGATAGTAATAAAAACACCACGAAGTAAGGGAACTACCTTATCAGCTGAAATATATTTATTTCAGATATATGAACTTGAATTCAATTACATTTACAGATTTACTTATATGTATGTAAATATTCTGTATTTTATCTCTAAATCCTAACCTTCCTCATAAGCTTTATATGAAGTGGTAATTATTTGTTAATGCGTAGTAAACGTAATATGTTTGGTAAACAATGCTATCAAGAAAACTACGTTTTATACATAAATACTTTTTTGGCAGTCTATTTATTGATTGTAAACGAAAATATTCCATGAATTCGCGGGTGCTAAAAGTTTTAAAGAAATACATACATATTCTTCTTGATTAGCGACAGTTTGTGCTGTGGCCTAAGAAAATCTTTAAAGGAAACTTTTTAACTATCCTTACAATTTTTAGATGTACTTCCTGAAAGAAGTTACAATCGATGGACTTCCAAGCAGTTTTACCTTTAATGGCAAGCACCTTTATTTGATAAGCAGCCATTGTAAAACCCTAAAAATAACCCCCTTCGACCATTGGTTGCCATGCTGTCTCGGAAATTGTGGCAAATACTATTGGAGCACCTTGAGGAACTGCTGAGTAATCGCAATCCCCTGGCCAATGATCTACGTACATTTCTGCGCTGCCAATTGCGCAACAACAAACAGCGAGACGAGAGCAAAACCACTACTATTACTATGCTATTGCCGTCGTACTCCGTTCGCTTGGCCTCTAAAAAACAATTGTAAGCTGAAAAAACACACGGCCAGTTCAGCGACCCCAGTTGAAATGTGTTGCACCATGCACACGCACACTAGTTGGTGTGGGTGACTACTTGTGCAATGTGCACTGGATGGTACAGTACGACTTCTATAAGGTGGACATATGGCAAATAGCTGCTTGAAATTTGAGAACAAAAATCTGTCTTATAAATCGTTGCAATTCCAAGTACTAATGGAAAATTTTAACGATTCCACATTACTCACGATACTGCTGCTACTCACAATTGCTTATTCAGCATGACTCTATTATACCTTAAAAATGTAATTACTTTCTTTGGCTTTTAGTAACGAATCTGATTCAAGACCGCCTCATTTGTTAATTTATTTAAAGAACAATTTGAAGCATTTTGTTTTTATTAATCTATAGAATACCGGGTAAGAAATTCCTATTCCTTCAGTTTTCAAGTAAGTGTTTTGCGTCTTAAGCATATATGATGATTGATGATATAAACTAATTAGGTATTTCATAAAGACACAAATTAATTTATTTGGTTTGTAGCCGGTTATTTCAGTATTCAGACGGCATTCAACCCTGATTACGAATTGTAGGGTTGGATAGCTGACGGACTAGCCCGGTTTATTGGAGTAGAACACCATGTCTAGGCGATCCGAGAAAGTATTCTGATTGTCTGTATGGAAAAAACGTGAGCAAGTAGTAATGACTATCGAGTACCTACTGCACTTTTTGCTTTATATTTAGATATACTTTCTTATTTATATAGTTATGAACCCATTAGGAGTAAACCGCGTATCAGCTAGAGACCCCCTTACCGTTATCATCCTGGCTGCTACTGCTGACGCTAGCAGAGGCAGAGGCAGAGACGGCGGCAGAGGCAGAGGCTGTGACGACAGCGACGGCGTTATTGATCAGTGGTGCGATTTCCATAATATTTATTTCGATATCGGAGCTCCGTTTGTTTATGTAATACACTTTATTGGCTTTACTTTTTGTTTGTCTTTTTCGCAAAATATTTTTGTTTGTTTGTTAATTCACATTCGCGTCTTTCTCTCTCCCTCTCTCTTTCGGTTCGCCTGTGTATGTGTTTGAGAGCACGACTGTGTGGGTGTACAAATGTGAGTATGTGTGTGTAAGCGTTTTGTCACGTATTTTTACAACGGCGTTGCTTTTGTAGTAAATATGGCTGCCAAGTTTTGAAAATTTCTGCAATCGTCCGCTTTTGTCGCACGAATTTCAATTTCCAATGCAATTTTTGTACTTGTACTCTATTTATTCCATCGGTTGCATTACATTCTAATGCTTTTGCTATTGTTCTCTCGCTTTTCGCTCTCTTTCCCTCAACATTTGCATTTAATTCTCTTGTTGCTATTGCTGTTTTTTTTGTTGCTGTGTCGTCGTTTTTGTTATTGCTGTAGTCGTTGTTGTTCTTGTTGTTTGTGTTCCACTCCATCCACAAAGTAATTGAGTGCGCTCCACTTTGGTGCGAGGGAGACGGAAAATTCTTCGCACGCACACAGTCTCACGTTTTTGCGTTTTCTTTTCTCGCCCAGTTCACGTACTTTCCACTTTCCAATCTCAAATTATTTGCTCGCGGAACTTTTTCGCGATGTGAACTGCCTCTATTTACACGTTGCACTTAAAATTTGTAACTATTTTGCACTATTTTACGGGCTGTTCAACTGCTCAAAACTCGCCTACCTCGGTCAGCGTCGTGTATAGAAATAGTGGTGGTGGGATAGAGTGGTGGGATAAAACATACCAGGTGGGATAAAACATACCAGATACCAAAATATACCGTTTGATTCTGTGGCGACCAGGGATCCTGAATGTCTCTGTTATATATAACATACTGTAATTATAACTATAATTAATTATAATTATTAGCTGGTTTGTAAAAAAACATGTTTTAATGAAATTAATAAAATATTATTATGCTCTTTAATTTATAAAAAATATGTTATGTTCCATTAAATTCAAGAGACGCCAACTTTTTCGTTCATGCTAAGACTTAAATAATACCTATAACATTTTCAAAAAATGTTAATGTAAATGTGAATATTAATATCGATATATACATTAAAGTATCGTGCTATTTTGTTATCGATAGTGGGTATTTTTAAAAATATCGATACATTGATAATATTATGCATTTCTCACATCTCTAGCACCATACCATCGTTTCGTGTTTCGACTTTTCCAGGCCAACTTAAAAACGATTTTTCCGTGGTGAAAAGTGCAATTCGCGCAAGGAAAATCTTCGATGTGGTCCTTTTAAGCCATCAAGATTGCATTTTGGAAATTTTCCGCCTGCAGCTGGCCCTGGACGTGCTTTGTATCCGTGGAGAACAGAGACGCAAAGGTTGGGACACCTACATATACATCGAAATCTAAACCAACATCGGCCGCGTGTGTGTGTGCGTGTGTGCGGTTGTGGGTGGACCAGGTTACCTTTCAAATTTAAGGTGTTCCATGGATTGGCTGGAAAAGCAAATGAACATAAGTTGCATGGAAAAAATCAGTTTCGACTCTAATACGACTTTGGTGAAAATAAACCACAAGAATATTATTGAACTGAAGAATTTGATTTTATCTATCGATTGACTAACTCTGTCAATTTGTTTACCAATAATATTTCATGTTCCAATTTTAAAACTTACCTTGAATAACTATTTTATTATATAAATTGCAGTCTATTAAAAGCATAAGTTTTGAGTTACGACCTTACGATCTTGACGGTAAAAGTTTTTAGCTTACAGTTCATAAATATTAAATATTACCAATTTTATTTTTATATCACGTATACGAATTGTGCTTTCTAAATCCTAAAATGACTAAAATAAATCCTGTAAAAAAAGTATTAAGCTTTATTTATACCTTTAGCCGAAAGGTCCACCTTAGTGTTCCTAGAAGGTGTGAATGTGTGCGTGTTGCACAGCATGTCTGTGTGTGGGTGGCGCAAAAGGGGCGGAGAAAAAGGAAAATAAATCAGAATTTCCACATCCAGCGCCCAGAATATGACATATTTTTTATCAAAACTGTACAATTACTACATTTATTTGGAAAAGTACCTGTAAGATCTCCAAAAATCACATTGTGAATTATTCGAGTGACTCAAGTAATATTAGTTACTTACTAAAAATCGAGTTCATTGCCGCCCTTCTATACCTACACATGGATTGGATTTACTTTGACTCAAACATTAAGCACTAACTACCATTTCTACCCACAGATAGACGCCGTGTGGGGTTGGGTTGCTTCCGGCCCGCTGCGCTTAGCAGCGAACAGAATGGGCGACCTGCCGGGCTCGGGCTCCACCGCTCAACCACGGGATGCTGGTAAGGATTTGAAAGGGGCTTGGTTTGGAATTGAGAAAAGAGCAAGCCAGGAGAAACTTGTGTACCCTTTAGCTGAACAATAATTTAAGAAAGGCTATTTCCTCAAATCAAAGTATCAATCTTTCGTCATAATTCAAATTAATAGCTTCCCTGAAGATTATTTGTATTATTTAAAATAAATGGTATTTTCTAACTCAAATTCAAATTTTTTGCCAACAGCTGTTACCGGTACAGGTGGTAATTCCACGGCTGGTGGCGGCTCCTCCGTTGGATCAACGGCAGTGGACCGACCTCCGTCGCCCGCCCGCCTCTCTCACACGTCCGAGAAACATCCGAAGGTCACGCTCACGGAACTAAATATGCTACGGCGCCATCGGGAGCTCTGCGATGTGGTGCTCAACGTGGGCGGACGGAAGATCTTTGCCCACCGGGTCATTCTGTCCGCCTGCAGCTCCTACTTCTGTGCCATGTTTACTGGCGAACTGGAGGAATCGCGCCAGACTGAGGTCACCATACGCGACATCGATGAGAATGCCATGGAGCTGCTCATCGACTTTTGTTACACCGCCCACATCATGGTCGAGGAGTCGAATGTCCAGACCCTCCTTCCCGCCGCCTGCCTGCTTCAACTGGTTGAGATTCAGGACATCTGCTGCGAGTTCCTCAAACGGCAGTTGGATCCCACCAACTGCCTGGGCATCCGCGCCTTTGCCGACACACACTCCTGCCGGGAACTTCTTAGGATCGCGGACAAATTTACGCAGCACAACTTCCAAGAGGTTATGGAGAGCGAGGAGTTCCTACTGCTCCCTGTCGGCCAGCTGGTGGACATCATTTGCAGCGACGAACTGAACGTGCGCTCCGAGGAGCAGGTCTTCAACGCGGTCATGTCCTGGCTCAAGTACAATGTCGCCGAGCGGCGACAACATCTGGCACAGGTAAGCCATTTGTAAACCATTTCTGATTTTTCAAAGTGTGAATATTACCCTTAAAATAATGCCATTCGATCATTACTTTGGATAACAAAAACAACTCAATTTCTAAGTATTGGATCTAATAAATAAATAAATAAATCATATTTCTCCATATTCTCAGGTGCTCCAACACGTCCGTCTGCCTCTACTCTCTCCAAAGTTCCTGGTTGGCACGGTTGGCTCCGATCTCCTGGTGCGCAGCGACGAGGCCTGCCGGGATTTGGTGGATGAGGCCAAGAACTATCTGCTACTTCCGCAGGAGCGACCGCTGATGCAGGGCCCACGCACTAGACCGCGCAAACCAACTCGACGAGGAGAAGTGCTCTTCGCCGTGGGCGGATGGTGTTCCGGCGATGCCATAGCCTCCGTTGAGCGTTTCGATCCCCAGACCAACGACTGGAAAATGGTCGCTCCAATGAGCAAACGACGCTGCGGAGTTGGCGTGGCCGTGTTGAATGACCTACTCTACGCCGTGGGCGGTCATGATGGCCAGAGCTATCTGAACAGCATAGAGCGCTATGATCCACAAACGAATCAGTGGTCCTGCGACGTGGCACCCACCACTTCCTGCCGCACCAGCGTGGGCGTGGCTGTGCTCGACGGCTTCTTGTACGCGGTGGGCGGCCAGGATGGCGTTCAGTGCTTGAACCACGTGGAGCGGTACGATCCGAAAGAGAACAAATGGTCCAAAGTGGCTCCAATGACAACTAGACGCCTGGGAGTGGCGGTAGCCGTGCTTGGAGGATTTCTCTACGCAATTGGCGGCTCCGATGGACAGTGCCCGTTGAACACCGTAGAGCGATATGATCCCAGGTAATCCATATATATGATGCTATTTCAATGAATATATTATATAACTCTAATTTCTAAAAACCATGAACAAGTACATTTTCTAGCACTAGTAGGAAATGACCTTATGTGCAGTGCACTTGAACGCAGTACCGTGATTGATTTACATTGCCCTGATTTCATTACAGACACAACAAATGGGTAGCCGTCAGCCCGATGTCCACGCGACGCAAGCATCTGGGCTGTGCTGTGTTCAACAACTACATTTACGCCGTCGGCGGGCGAGACGATTGCATGGAGCTCTCGTCCGCCGAGCGCTACAATCCACTGACCAATACCTGGAGCCCAATTGTGGCCATGACCTCCCGCCGTAGTGGGGTGAGTTTTTCATACATTTCTTCAGCGAATAGTATTGAATTAAATGAAATGGTGTCATTTTAGGTTGGCCTGGCCGTCGTTAATGGACAGCTGTATGCTGTGGGCGGCTTTGATGGTTCCGCGTATTTGAAAACCATCGAGGTCTATGACCCAGAGACGAACCAATGGCGTTTGTGTGGCTGCATGAACTATCGTCGGCTGGGCGGCGGTGTGGGCGTGATGCGGGCCCCTCAGACTGAGAACTATATGTGGTGCGAAAATAGTTTTAAGCAACCAAATTCCTGAAACTAACTCAACTCCTATCCCTTCCATTGCTGATGAAATGTTGTCTTGTCTCTCTTTCCCCCGAAAACATGCTAACAAACTCAGGATCCGGAAAGATTCTGTTGTCTGATGGGAACAGCAGCCGACGACGTTGCCCTCGCAAACGTTGCCGCCGCCGCACTTCTACTAACAATATCCGCAATCGAAGCCAAATCTAATCGACTAAACAAAACACCTTTCCCCCCATTGTCTAGCAGTATAATCGCTTTGTATTAATTGTTAATTGTTTATTTGGTAGAGCCTAAAGCGCATGTCTGTTAGACTTTTCCAGAATAGTATTAGAGTTAGCACTGCCCTTTTCCCTTTTCCCCATTCACCTGCAATCACTCATCCCCATCACTCTGTGCGTAATTATATATGATTGTACTGTACGTTAAGCAAGTATAAATAACTTAATATCTAAATGTTGCTGGTGGTATTTCATGGAAATCGCTAGCTCATAACCATGCCTTCTTTCGAAAAAACAAAACAGAATCAAATATTAACTTAGAAACGAATTCGATTAGTTGTAAATCTTAAAACGATGAGCTCTAAAGTCAAGTAACAAATTGGTATTAAAATAATTTAGTCTTAAGGAGTGAATTCAAGAAAGTTTGTCCGAAATTAAACATCACAATGGTGCAATATTTCGATCGACCAACCTAATGATGTTGTTTAGTCAAGTACCCTTTAAATCATTGCAATCATCTTCAATAACCCACTACCTATATGGAGTGAACCGAATAATTGCAAATTTGAAAAGATTGAATATTCAATTTGTCAAGCTTAAAAAACCATTAAGATAATCACACACAATGAAGAAGTTAGACCTAGCCCAAATGAATTCAATAGTAACAATTAACAATTACACAGCAGTAAGATCAACTTTAAGCTAATAAATTTTAATATTGTTACTCCTAGATCGTAAACCGGTAAGAGTTTTCGGCCGGAATCAGGTCAAGTTTTAAGATGAATTATTGTTAAACCAAGTTTGACCATCGAGCTGAAAGAACCAACTCGAATTAATTGCTTAGATAAGGGAGTTAAAACACAACCAGACTCTCAATAACAACACATTTTGTTTGTTGCCTTTTACACCAACACTATTAAACAATTATTTATTCAAAATTATTTATTACACGCTTTTGTATCTCATTTAGTTTATTTTAGGGTGCACATTTGTCATTACTTTATACACTGTTGTTAAATCGAGCAAAAGGGAATTATCTTTGCTTCCAAGTGGTCAATAAGAATAGCATTTATGAAAAACCAAGCTTATTTATATTATAGCTTTAAGTAAATGGTCAACACAAATAATCGCACTATGCGTAGTTCAACAATGACTCTTCATAGTTGCATTGAGTGGAAAAAAAGTGCTTAACGCAAATAATAAAAGAAGTGTTAACCTAAGGAATGATCGTAAACCCGTGCTATGTATAAGAATATATAATAATAAAAATATATCAAAACTAAGATACGATTTTGGTTTATTAAATGCATTACAGCCAAGGTTCGGAAATCCAGTATATAGGCTTGAATAGTTTAAAATGGATACGAAATTCATTATTTTGTAAAGTTTTATACGTGTTAATAAGTTTAGGTATTATAGTCTGTAATTTATAGATTCTGGTTCTTTGTTGTACATTTTTATACAACCGTATACCGGTAGTTGGTACAGGTACCCGGTACACAGTACCGGAACCCCGTACACCAAACGGTACCTCGTACCGCATGTACATCATATCGTACCCCGTTTAACACGTACGACATTGCATCCCGTACCAATATCGGTACGCGAACACGGTTCCCAATTTTTATGCGTATGAATTTGAAGTCAAATTTCAATTTAAAGGCATAGTGAAGTAATAGATTTCCTGCTATTTATAAACCCTGTACAAAATAAGCTGTATACTTTTTAATATTATGAAAATATCACAATCGCCTGCTTCTTGAACATATCGATATACACTGTAGTGTGAACTCCAGTGTGAACGCTTCGCGAGATGGAGAAACATCAGCAATCGATAAGTTTAAATGGGCATTCGATTAGCGTAGGCCAGCTGTTTATTCTGGCGGTCTTTCATACCTTTCGATGAAATATTTTTTCATTTCTGGCCGTAAAATATGTCCCAAGTCCCGGTTTTGGCCGGCGAAAATGAGCAACCGAAGCGGAAGATTCTAAGCGGCGGCGAGTACAATAGGATCTGCCAGTTCATCAACGGTTTCCACGGATTGGCCATCGACTGCGAGTTCGAGTTGAGGAATCGTTTCTTCAAGGATGTGGAGCCAATGGCGTTGACATGCATCGTACAATCGGAGGTCTCAAACAGGACTAAGAGTAACCACTGGAAGCAGGACCAGCGAGGAAAGAAGCTGCTCAAAGTGTAAGACCACAATTTTGTCTTTTTTCCTGAGACCATGGCCAATAATCATCCAAATTGTTTGTGTTCAGCTACGATGAGCAGAAAAACTTGTACGACAATGCCCTCCTGATCCGAATGGCTTCTGTCGAGGCACTGAACCCGGTGGCTCTCTGCAGGATGCTGCTGCAGGAGAAGTACAAGGCTCAGCATCGATCGCACATCTCACAGCTTCTTAGGCATCCGCATCTTATCGACGATCCGCAGCTGGCGGCCAATGTGCAGCAGTGCATAATCAGCGACAATCAAGAGGGATCCATTACGGACCTGCGACGACGCATTATGGGCGAGGAGTATGAGCTTAAGCTTAAGAATCTGGCTAAGGAGGCGGGTGTTCATTTCTACGACGAGCAGGATTTGCGACGAATGGGATATGACAAGACGCCGGACATCAAGATGATCCTGCCGTTCCTTTACAAGGGCTCTGTGGTCAACTGGATCGAAAGCAAGGCCAATTTTGGGGACACCAAGAAACACAAGTTCAACATCCAACAGCAGCTGCAAAGCTACTGCAATCGGTAATATGAAAGAATACTTCCTATAACCTTCCCAATTATATCTATATTGTTTTTAGTTTTGGGCCTGGGATCATAATCTATTGGTTTGGGTATCACGAGGAAACGCCCTCGCTGCCGGATAACAACATTGGCATTACAGTTCTTGCTGATTTTCCGGCTAAAGAAGATTTAGTTTTTATGCAACTTGCGCAAGAAGAATTCCCCGCTGAGACTCCGGCAACGATAGAGAACAGCAGTACCGGGAGTCAACTTTTAGGTGAACCTATTATAGCTGAATGTCCAATCAAAGAACTGACAAAGCTTTCATGAAACTGGGTATTCAGGGGAATGGTTAATTTTGGAATATAACATATTTTTTAACTATTGAACGACATGTGCTTGTTAAGTCAATGTACATAGAAACCATACATTTTAAGTTAAGGAAGTTGCCAAATGTTAAGTATCATTGAAACAATCAAATTATAGTTTAGAACACTATTCTCGCACCATGCGAATATTTACATAAAGACAAGAATGCTCTGCATTTACCCACTAACCATAAGATAAAACAATGCTTCGGCAGCAAAAACATTTCTCTGTAGATTTAACAATTGTTTCGTTTTAATTGTATTTATAAATTCTCATTTACATGATGTTTTCAAAGGTTTATAGTACAAAAAGATTGATTTCATTTCTGGCATAAATCGTATACAAAACTATGATATTGTTAGCATCGTTGTTCATAAGCCAAATCAAAAACGAAGCCCAAGTAATTATTGTTACTCAAATAGCTCGTTGCCTTTCAAGGAAAATAAAAAATAAAACAACGTATTTATTTTACTATGTGGAAAATTGCTTTGTATTGTGGTAGCCATGTGTTATTTTCAATGTATAAACCAAAAGTCACCAATGTGTATATAAAAAATTCAGCTGGGCCCTTTGCTTTGGAAACTATGTTCTAACTTTATGCGCCCCCTTTTCATCGGCTTAAATATTGATGTTGTATTGGGGCTGATGTAAAATTATTGTTGCAAAAGTTTCGTACTGGTAGGAAATTCGTCGATTTCGATCAGCTTGATATATTTATATATGCACCCAGCCACTTCGGTCATCAGACCTCCTTCAGTTCCTCGGGCATATCGTTCTTGGGATGCTTGTTCTCGAAATGCTGCTTATAAGTCTTGGGATCGGGCATTTGCGACTGAAATGGAGAGGAGACTCGATTAGGTTTCACATAAACCACAAAGTACGAGGAATCTGTATTTACTATTAGTTTGAAAAAAGGTGGAATACATAATAACATTCATCTGAATCGCAACTGCAGTTTCTTTATTTTAAAGCTTCGGAGAACTCAAGGGATAACTTGAACTGTCTTGATACTAATAATTTCATTGCTTAAATAATATATTCTGTCGGTTATAGATATACTTTGCATTAATAACAACAAATATCGTAAATATCCATATTCTCGATCTCAGAAAGAAAGACATTTTTAAATCGCTTGAAACTATGTTTCTTAGTAAACTGTATCTAAGCTACTAGAGTTATAAAAGCTCGACGTTAAAGTGCACGAGTACGTGAGCTAATTTTCTAGCTGTGTCAAAACTACTTGCATAACCTACTGCAGTTGCTGATTAGGAAGGTTTCACTGTAGCTGGCTCACCTTGCAAACGGCGCACACATGGACAAGTGCCTTTTGAGCCGCCTTTTTCTGATCGTTGGCACTGTGTCCTTGCTGCTTCTTCAGTTTGGCCTGTTTCTCGGAGGCCTTCGCCTGCGACTGGATCTTCTGGTGTCCACGCGCCATTTCTTTCTGTTTGATTGCAAATGGAAGAGTTAGCATACATATGCATATCATCTTTGGGATTCGCAACAAAGGCGGCTTTCACTTTCTCCCACACATCTTAATGGTTTGCTCTTGGGGTTACCGAACGGAAAGTACACCTCCGGTCAGCATATAGTTAAGATACCACTTATTTATATTTTGCAAGAAATCTGACACGACACTGTACAGGAACAACAACAAATCACCCTTGCAAGTGAAAATGTGGGTTGCGACCACGTTCTGCGCTCTTTTTGCGAACCCATCCCAACTTACCTAATTTACCCGATTAAAATTGGTTTCCTGCACTAAATGCAGGTGATGCGGCCTTGGAGTGACGTAAAATTTGTTGTTAATAATCTGTTTTGATTTGATACCCGAAATTATTGACGATTAACCGTAGATTTTTATCAATTTGTCGAGTTTTGTTTCGCTGCCAGGGTTGAATGGGACCAGAGTTTAACTATATCCAAAATGTTAGGGCATAAATATCTGTGGGTTCGCGTCTCTGATTAACATACACCCTGACTCGAACCACTTAACGGTACTCGTAATGAATGGTTTTCATAATTATTTCTATAGTAATGAAATTAAAAAGTATATGTTCTATGTTCATGTTTTAAGCGACCAAAACAAAAAAGATATTATTTTTATCTATAACTAGAAGGATATCAACAATTTGGCGGGGTGAATTAAAATGGAATATCATATAGATCAAAAAAGGTTAGTTTTAACATTTTTATTTATAAATTGTCATTTACATAATTTAGTTATAGTACAAAAAGATTTATTTGCTTTCATTTCTGGCATAATTCGTATAAAACTTTTACGTGTAAACCAAATCCAAAACGGAGCTCAGAGTATTTATTTATGGTGTCCTAGATATCTTCCTGTCCTGTTGTCAGGAATTAAACAATTTCTATTAATTTCGTAAGGTAGGTAGGTGTCTTTGTATTCGGTTTGCCACACATCGAACATTCGCATACAGTGTTAATTTCAATGTATAAAACAAACCCAAAAAGCAGTGTGTATACGAAAAATCTGGCATATATTATTATTACGTCTATTATCCATCCTCTTGGCTTCGGCTTGATTGTGGGCTTTCTTCTTCGGGCCGATTCTAATTTATTGTTGCAAATGTTTCGTACTGGTAGGCAACTCGTCCATCTCGTTCAGCTTTAAGTAAAATGGCCATCAGACTTCCTTCAGCTCCTCGGGCATGTCGTTCTTGGGATGCTTGTTCTCGAAGTGCTGCTTGTAAGTCTTGGGATCGGGCATTTGGGACTGAAATGGAGAATTAGGGAATCGATTAGATAAACCTTCCAATTGTTATCTTTAAAAAGGAAGGTGAGCCGGAAATATATAACCGTAAGAAAGGCTGATAGCATATCAATGTGTTATCATTTAAAGTAACCAATATATCAGCAGTGCTTGGCCATAATATAATTTAAGATGACGTTGGACCAACATATTGCTTTGAAACTGGTAATTATTTATGCCGAATTGAATTAATGTAAAAACAAGTGAAAGTGTTATTGTTAATATGTTGAAATGTGATAAAAATGTATGTGGGATATATTTGCATAATATTCTGTGATCTATGTATATCAGACTTATATTAGTCAATGCCAGGATTTTATATAATAACAAACATGGATAAAAGACGAAGCGAGCGTTACAATATCACAAGTTAACAATTTACTTTAAGTGGTATGTGCCATTTTTTGTTTTAAGTGCTGTATTGCACAGTGCGGAATTGCATAGAATAGAATAGGCATTTTCAAGCTCAAATGGCCCGCTTCAATCTACACTAGTTTGTTCATTTTACAGCGGCTCCACTGTAGCTGGCTCACCTTGCAAACGGCGCACACATGGACAAGTGCCTTCTGAGCCGCCTTTTTCTGATCGTTGGCACTGTGTCCTTGCTGCTTCTTCAGTTTGGCTTGTTTCTCGGAGGCCTTCGCCTGCGACTGGATCTTCTGGTGTCCACGTGCCATTGCTTGCTGCTCAAATGCAAATAGAGGGGTTAGTTCAAGTGGATTGCCAAAAGGTCATTAATCATCTGTGGCCCAAACGGGATTTGCAACAAAGGCGGCAGAAGCGCAGTAACTTTCACTTGTTATCCCCACCCACTTAAACCAAATAGGAGTTCCCAGTCACGAGAGTGGATTTTCCACGATCTGTGTAGTTCTATCGATAAGATATTAATAAAATGTTGATCAAATCTGTTGCGTTACTGTACTGCAACAACAAATCACTCCACCCCCACAAGTGAAAATGTGGATTGCGACCACGTTCTGCGCTTTTTTGCGAACCCATTCTTACTTACCTAATTAACCCGAGTAAATTTGGATGGCTGCACTAAATGCAGGCGATGCAGCTTCGAATTTAAGTAAGACTCTTTGTAAAGTAAAATGTTTTGTTACCCGAAATTATTGACAATTTGTCTTAAAATACTATTCATTTGATGGGTTTTGTTTTCTGCATGGAATAAGTGGGACCAGAGTTCAAGTATATCCGAAATGTTCGTTCTGCAACATATGTGGGTTCGAGTCTTTGACTGACATTTACCCTGACTCAAACCCCTTAAATCGTCATATAAATAACATTTGGAAAATTTTTAAGTTAGTTTTGAAGATTATTCCGAAACAATTTAAAATGGGTATTGTGTGCATCTGTTGCATAGTGTTATTCAATATTTAAAATCTTTAATTCAAAAGAAAGTTCAATAAGAGCTTCAGCACCAGCCTAGGGTTAGGGCTTTAAAAAATAAAAACTTATTTTAACTATTTTTATTATTCAATTTGAACTCTTTAATTGTTAATAATTCTAGAAAAAATGTTACCAACAAATAAGAGCTTCAAAAATTTGTATTATTATTGGTAATTGTAAGCTAAAGGGGCTTTAAGAAACCACAACCATTTAAAATCGTAATTTCAAATATTTTAAAAAAATGTTTATTTATTTTAGTAAAAAACTTAACAAGTTACATTTATTTGCAATTACACCAGCATACTGGCATTATTATCGCAAAACTCGTAAATATTATCAACAAACTGCATTGCCTGCATAGTTTTAGCATCTTGAGGGGTATATTCATTTTGCTGTGAGGGATGTGGTACTTTTGCAACGCCTCTTTTACAGGCGGCATCTGCCTCCGTTTCCTCCAAGGTCAAACGTTTTAAATTATTGATCAGCGAAATATCGTGTCTGATCTCATTTTTCAATTCCAGAAGTTCGTGTTCAGTTTTAATTATGTCCTCGGCATAGGCTTCGATATTTTGTTGCAACTGCCCGACCGATAACTCCATTTCCGGTCCCTTGTACCGTTCGTTCTGCAATCGGTACAGTCGGCACTTTTCCGATAGCTGCCGTGTTAGAGCGTGTTCCTTTTCATAGCGAACATTCATGTCGGCATGAAGAGATGCCAACTTATAACGTACACTATTTCTCAACGGCTTATCCTTTCGCCTCCTTATGCAATTATTAACATTATAGTTATTTTTATTGCATTCGCTGGGAACTGCTGTTTTGAATGTTTCAACTGAGGCTTTGGTCATCTCGAGACGACTTCGTCTTCGATGCCGCTGCTTGGAGACGCGATTCTCGGCCAGTTTATAAAGTTTTGATTTGGCATTGTTTTCGGTACCCCTATACAGTTGGTCTGGCATTATAATCACGACCAAGTCATTGGGCACTATTTGCTTTTGACCGTGCACTCTCTTCTCCTTCAATTTATTAGGCACTTTCGGAGGCGTTTTTGTGGGTTTTGGTATCGTCTTCTTTTCCTTTTTAAGATGCAGTAGCTTCTTGAGCCACTTGTACATCGAAAATCCCGTGGGTGGTTGTGAATGGGGCACTAATTGCATGGCAAGGGGATCTCTGAAGCTATCACGGTGTTTTAACGAGATGCGCAACTGTAATACATAGATGAGAAATAATTGTTTTTAAATGAATTAAATTATTTTAAAAAATAAAAAATTGTATTACTCTATGAACACATTTTACTCCTCAATTTATGTTATTCTTATTAAAGTAACAAATTGACGTTTGTTTTATCATTGTATAATTCTCTACAAAACAATATTAAACTATATAGCTTATTTTGTGATTATATTGACAATCAAGATAGCTCTGACTATAAAACCACCTTGGCATTTGTTCTTAACTCTTTCCCTCCATTAAATGGATAAGATCATCAAATAGCAATTAGGCATTCGTTTTCCAAGAATTACGTTATTCCCATGGCTAATGGTTAAGGTCATAAAACATTTACAGCATAATTAGGCCGAAACGAAAACATGAACTCAGATATAAAAATCAATAGGCAAATTGATTTCACTCGGTGCGTCATAAACAAATAAATACGAAAAGCCAAAGCATAAGTCAAATGCTAGTGGTACTATATACATACATATGTATAGCTGCGGGTGTGACTTTGAAAGGGGGATATGGAGAACGTATGGAGTGGGTTTTCGAGAACGACATGAATTTCACATTTCTTGGCTTGCGTGTGGCGCCAGGAAAAAAGCGCTTATTATGCAATCACTGTAGACTTTTCGTTTTTTGTTTTTTGCTTTCGGGCCCAGTTTGCTGGTGTTTCTCTTTTATTTTGCTCCTTTTTTTCTGCACGCCAGGTGGGATTCCCCTGGTCCACCAACTGCCATTGTTGCCATTACCTCATTGTGTACACGGCTCCAAGCGCGCCAAACGGGCAAAATGGCCATGTTGCCATCATAGCACCGCTCTATTCCGCCCCAACTTTCCGTTATAATGTAATCGCTGTAGTCACGCGATGCTGCTGCCGCTTTCCTCTGGCCGCCATCTTGTTTTTCCAACGTGCGGAAAACGGGAAAATTGAATGAAACGGAACGAAACGAAACGCAAAATGAGAGAAAATAAAAGAAATTGTAAATAAGGAGCATAAATAAATAAAAAGCCAAATTGTGTTGTATAAAAAATAGCAGTCACGACAGGATCGGCTGCGAATTATTATTATAAACCCACCTTTCGGATTATTGCCGCAGTACAACCCATCGCCATTCCGCAGTTCGTCATCAATCAGCGCCTTGATTATGTCATCGCACGTCGTCTTGTTCGTCACTCCTGATACGTAACGCGCCTCTCCATCGTCCATCCAGATGGGGATTTCCTTGTGGCCTTGCTCCTGAAGGATTGCCAGAAGAACAGGGATCGATTAACAGGGTTGCCAGGTTATTAGGTATCGATTGTGTAAAGTGGGGTATTGACATACAAGCAGGGGAAATTAATGGAGAATTTCCCTTTTAGTCAAATCGTAAAGATAAATCGCATAAATGTGTATTGTGGTCAATTTATTATTTGGCAATAATAACACCACTAATAGTGGTATTAAGTGTATTAGTATTTTTACTAGATAGTTTTAAAAGAGTAATAGGAATTATTCACATTGGATAATATTTTGGTGTAAGCTCTATATATTTCCTTAATAAGCCAATATTATTTAGTAACATTATTGGCTTAGGTCTCATTTTCATCTTATTTTGTCCTTGAACAATTCTATTAAGGTAAACAAATTTTTGAAATTTAAAAAAAACTCCTTGCAATGTCATCCAGTTTAATAAGTGATTACATATTGTATTCTAAGCTTTTACCAGAACCAGTAAAAGTTGTGCAAAGAATTCATATAAAGAAGTTTCCTACGAAAACGCAAGGTTGCAGTCAATTTCTTAAGTAACAGACGCACTATCGAAGTTTCCCATACCCTTATATGTCAGTATAGCACTACCCACATAAGCATATGACTATCGGCTCTGCCTGCCACTGCCAATTAGATGATTTGTTTGATTTCAGTGGAAAAGCTGGCGCAACCGAAAATCAGAGGCGGGGATTTGAGTGGGGTAGTCAGTAGCCAAAGGGGCAGGGGACCAGGGGCGGGAGGAGGAGGATGAGGAGGGGGCACTTACCACAGTGCTATTAACGCCATAGAGGGAAATGGAACGGTGGCGACGACTGGCCTGACCAGCGTTTCCGTTTTCCCTGCCGTGTTTATTTTTGCATGCTTGCCGATGTGGTGGTGCTGGTGCCATGGGTATGGGCATAGGTATAGGTATAGGTGGTGCTAATGGTGGTTCCCCCACCGATAGCGATTCATCCACCAAGCGCTCCTCGAATGGCTGCTTATTATTATTATTATTGTTGGTGTCTTGATTCTGACATCGTCGCGGCGGGAGAATGGGACTTTCGGGTAGATTTAATAGCGATGGACAGCTGTCCAGATTATCATCGATGAATGTGGAGTTCTGTTGTTGCGGCGCCATATTCGCTTGTCCGCTTTTAAAAAAACCTCTCTCGGTAATTGGCACTGCAATGGAAAAGCGGAGGAAAAAATAGTTGAATACATATAGAGAACATGCAATATCCTTGTTAGACATTTTGTTGGTTCAGCTGGCTGTTCGTTCGCCTACGCCTAACGATCAATTTAGATTTGTTGCCCGCGATTAAATAAATTATGCAGTAGCCCTTTGCCGTACAACATGTGCACCTATATACACATACACATATGGCACTCATATACACATATATCTAGTTGCACCTCACCATAGACACACGACGCAACCCCATCTAGATTCCTAGAAAATTGCCTACCAACGTCAGTTGGCGCCGGTGGCCCATTATTCAGGAACACTGCCGGCGTTTAGGCTGTCGCACCATTCCCCATTCCCCATTCCCCATCCAATCCCCAATCCTCCAACCCCCCATTCCCCTACCCAACTCAAGCCATCGGAATCCTAGTAGGCCTACAAAACCCCTGTTCTCCAGTTCACAGCCCCACATAATTTGTTGTTCGGGGGGCGTTGTACGTTGCAGTTTGTATGCAAATTCGCTTTTCCAGCCGAAAAACATTTTCCTTTCTGCTTCATTTTCTCCTTTTTTTGGATTTCAATTGGTGGCCTGGCTGACTTATGAATTAATGCTAATTTATGCCGCCGGAAAATGCAGCGAAGGAGGCCAAATTATATAGATTGACGGCGGTTAGAGTGCTGAAATACTTTTGGCTAGCAATTTACTTAAATATAAGTGCGCGAACTGCTTGGTTTTTACAGGAGAGCGCCTATAGAGAATAATCCTTGAAATGAATTTCAAAATATCTCAGCGTTAACATTTTCAAAGAAATACAAAAATAAAGTAGTAATAAAATTATGAGAGGTATTTTGTAGATATAAAAAAAGCTCAAAACAATTAACTTTCATTTAGATAACTACTACTAAATCATTTTGATTTCAAGATACACATTTTCGAAATCGATTCCAACTGCACTCAATGTAATTCAATTTCAAAGATTACTTAGACAACTATAACTAGGACCCCTAGGACCTTATTTGTGTTCAAAACTACAATTGAAATGGAATTTACAGAAGTTTTCAGAATTCCCTCATCAAATATTTATTTGCTCTCTGGACAGGTGCCTTTAGCTTTGGGTCACGCCCCCGGTTCTATTAGAGAAATGAGTTATGAGTGAAGCAATTTGCAGAAGGATTTCCACCTGGGCCAATAGTCCTGCCGCTG